CCTTTTAAATAAGATCCCCGCCAGAGAAAGAGAGCCAGAAAGAGAGACCTAACATCTCTAAAGCCATGAATCAGATAACCAGCCATTTTCTGTCTGCAGTGCATGGAGCAGACACACTGTTAAATAAATTATTTTATGGATTATTCCCCTTGCCTTTCCAAGAAGGGGATTTATCAATTTCAGGGCACAGGAACCATCTATTCCTGGACCACTGCTGCTTTTTCACTTCTCTTCTTGACGTACAAGAAGGAGGGAGTTGGAGCTGTGGATCTTGCTGTCTCCCTCCAACTCCACTTCCTAAGGCCAATTTGGGGCAAATGTGGGGCTCCAGCAGGCCTGTAAATGCAGAGCTGACCCTTGGCTATGCTCATTGCTGCAGAGACTAGGGACTGTATTCTGCTTTGAGAGTAACTGGACATGACCCTTTCAGAGATCACTTTCCAGAAGGGCCGATTCCCTCTCAGGGTGGCCCTTTGACGTATCATTCAATTAATGAATGCCATTTCTGCCCCTTTAAATCTAAAGGAACTCAGCAGTCAAAAAGGAATGAAATTCAGAGGCTCATTCAGATTGGGTGCTCTCCATGCAGAGCAATGTTCTGAGAGGCCAGCCAGGCCTGGAAAATGTTTTCCTAATCCCTCTGGGGTTACTGGGAGATCTCCTAGGAGAGTCCTCTCCAAGAGGCACAGCCAGGTCCCAAACTGGGAACACCACATATTCTGGCACCTCTCAGCAGAAGGCTAGTAGGTGCTGGTCCTGTAGCCTCCAATGGCATCACTGGCTCTCCAGACAGCTGACAGCCCATGTCCATGTCTATTTAGAAGCAGCCACTGAGCTGCAAGGAAACACTGGCAACACTGAATGAAGCATTATGAACTCTTCACCTGAATTAATGGCTCCAATGTTGGTTGTGGACACCATCTTCCACAGAGTAGACAAATGGAGATGGTTATATAAGCTAAAGGCCTCAGTTGAGAGGCACTGGCTCCCAGGCATTGTGTCCCTCAGAATCCTTGGGCATGCCATCACAGTAACAATCAAAGTATTTTTTTTACCCTTTGACACATGTTTTTATAGCAGAAAGACATGAGACTCCAGTGTGTTAACAACCACTCACCGATCATTACTCTACAAGGTCTTTCTGAGGGTGTCCTGTGTGCTGGGCATGTACCAGGCAGGGACTAAAGCCTCGGGTAAGACAGGCTCAGTCCCTGCTCTCATGGAGTTTACACACAAATGGGAACAGACTGATAGGAAATGGTAACCAACAAGATAACTTCAAACCATGAACATCACACCACTGTGCGATGGAATCGAATACAATCTGTGGTGAGAGCGGATTCTTGGGACTAAGGTGGCTATGGAAGGCTTCTCCAGGGAGGCAAGGTGGACAAGAAAACCCAACAGATGAGGATAAGTCCAGGTGTAGGTGAAGAGCATCCCACACAAGGAACATGAGGAAGCTTACCCTGAGTGGGAATCAACCCAATCTGAGGGACAGAAAAAACACAATGCCTGGGAGCAGAGCAAGGGGATCTTGTGATGAGTTCAATCTCAAGCTCAGTGCAGCTGGATGGAGAAGCTCCTCTAGGACACAGGATTTTGCTTACTCCAAAAGCAGGGGGTATGGAAGGATCGGAACTTTGTTTTTGAATCAGGGTCTCACTGGAAAGCCTGTAATTATGTAGGTCAGTCAGCCTGGTCTCAAACTTGCAGTCCTCCTTTTGTCTCTGGAGTGCTTGGGTTACAAGTGTGTGCCCCCATATCTGGCTACACTGCCTTTTAAATCTGTCACTGTGGCTGTAATATGGGCAAGGGGTTGAAGAGAGAAGAAACATAGCCCAAGACAGGAGAGTCTCTTCAGAGGCTGCAACAGTCCAAGGGAGAGCTCGTGGTGTCCTGATCTTGGTAGCAGAAGGAAGGGTGGTGGTCAAGGAGTTTGGGGCAGGAGGTGGCTGGAGAGGAGGGAAGATGGAATCAGAGCACAAAAATGGGAGAGGGGTGATTGCAGGTTCAGGCCAGAGCCAAGTGGTAGATGACTGTGCCGCTGACTGAAGTTGAGGGAACAAGTTTGGAAAGAACTCAAGGCCCAGCTGGTGACTCCTAGTTAGTGTTCTGTGGTCTCACTTGTGTGTGGGACAGAAACGAAAACGTTGTCAGTTTGGGGGAGCTGTGAGGGATTTCTCCAAGCAGGGTAACACCTTCCGTGGGAACAGATGTGATGTCTTTCCCAGGAATGAGCTCACTGGGGGAACCCCACACCCTGCCTCCTTCACTCGTCCCACCCTCCAGCTGGTCTTTCCAGCCAGCTAGCTTCGTTTCCTCCTTCTGCTACTCAGCACCTGTCTTCCTTTCTCTTGTCTTCTACTCAGATGTCCGTGGAGTCTTTTTTTCTGTTTATCTGTTCATTCGAGATCAAAACAAACACAAGCCACGTTGTATAACATGTTCTCTCCAGCTCCAAGCTTGTCACTGATGATGGCAGAGGCCGGATTTTTAGAGAATGTGAGTCTCTCCCTGTAGCCTCCTAGCACTCCAATCCCCTGTAATAATCCATTTAGGGATGTATTATCTTGGTTTATCCAGCCCTTTCTTTTCCTGACTTCTATTTACTGAAAGTACTATTTTCTGGCACCCCCTTATTTTCTGACTTAATGACTGGAGATGAAAAGATCCCCTTATGTGTGACTCTCGAACTGGGGTTGTTGTTATGTTCAGTGGCCATTGTTTCTATTTGGTAAACTCTCCCCTTTGTGTGCTTCCTTGTTGTTAGAGGGATACCACCGAGCTAACACTGCTGTGCCATTTTGCACTTGAGACTTCACACTTGGAACATGTTACAACTTGAGGACTTTATCAAATTGCTCAAGGCTACCCAGATAGGTGAGGGTAGAGGAAAGATTTCAATCCAAGCTATCAGTCCCCAAAAGAAGGAAAGCCACAGTGCTGTGGTTTTCGTGGGCTGCAAGGACATTGATTCCCACGGTAGCTACCCAGAGTTTCATGGACTGCAGTGGGTATAGAGGTCATCAAGGTTTACAGTGTCATTTCAGAAGCAATTAGTGGCAGGGTCCAGGGCAGGATGGGCAACTGTTACACTCACTTCATCAGGGATGGGCCCAGTGAGTGAGGTTAGTAGAGGAGCCATGGACACCTAAGCAAACTCTTGGGGAGGCTTAGGAGAACAAAGAAGTTTGTGTCAAGTTAGGCTGTAAAGATAGCTGTGCTTCATTTAAAGAGAAGAAAGGTTGGAACAGAAGACCTCTGTCTCCTCTGTCAATCCTGTTAGAGGGATGTTGGAAGGGGCTATTGATGGGAGTAGACCAAGGTCCTGTGGAGCTCTGCTTGCCTATGCTACAGAGAGATGCAGTTCTATGCCACAACAGCACCAGGCCACTTACCCTCCAGTTGAGGTGATATGTGTGGGCTGGGTCTGGTCCTGGAATACCCCATCATAAGCAACAGCTTGGGGGCATAGGCTTACATCTCTTTTTAAAGCAACTGGAGAAAGGAGAAGCATGGGGTGGGTGGGTAGGTGGCACAAAATAGTTACCTACACATTTGCTCTACAAAAATCACCCTCTATACACAAAGTTATGTGGGATATTGGGGGTGGTGTTGGCCAAAGGGTCCCTGTAGAGCTTAGATACCGATCCCAACTTAGACAGCTACAGAGTTATGTAGCCAGCCCTCTGGTCCCCAGACTGCAGTATCACTTTGTAGACAGCATCTCCCAGTCGCTGTGAACTAGACAATGTGTGACGCAAACCAAGCAGTTCTCCTGGCTCCCTGTGATCTCCGCCACCGCACAAAAAGTAGAGAGCATCTACTATTCTGGGCAGGATTCCCACAGGTCTATTTGTCCCTCTCTTTCTGTTCTTTGTATAAAATAAGCACTTTCAATCATCATCTGCTGGTTCTAGAAGTAAAACCAACAACAAAAAAATTCTTCCTTGTTCCAAAAGCAAAGAGATGAAGAATAGGCCTCATGAGAAGCCCTGTGAGAACAATCTTCTTATGTATGCAGGAGCCTTTCATCCATCTTCAGAGAGACTATGGGGAATAGGGAGAGAGGAGAAGCTGAGACGGGGGCTGTGAGGACTGGATGCTGGCAAGCATGATATGTGTATCTCTGAAAATTGTCAAAGTGAAACTCACCACTAGATACAATGCATAGGCATTAATGGTTTTAAATTCTAAGTGTGGGAACAAGACAGTCTCTGTTACCTGTGAAAAACCAATGTCTGAAAATACTAAAGGGGAAACGCCAGAAATAAACCATTCATAAATTTTCAATAGCTTCTATTACAGTGTATTGTGAGTATTTTTGTTTTGGTTTAGTTCCTGAGATAGGGAATTGGTTTTGTAGTCCAGGTTAACCTCAAACTCACTCTGTGGTTCATACTGGCCCCAAACTCACTGTGATCCTCCTTCCTCACAGCCTTTGAGTACTTGGGTTACAAGTGAGTATCACCACACCCAACTGGTAATGTTATAATTCTTCTATTTTATTATTAGTTGTTAATCTCATATCTTGCCTAATCTATAAACTAAACTCGTTCATAGGTATGCACAGGTAGCATGTATGAGGGTCAGTACTACCCATGGTTTCATATGATCACTGGGGTATTGAAACATATCCCTAATGGATAAAGGGGATGGTACACAATCCCTGATATCACATAAACATTATTTGTCTTGTTTGTATAATGGTTAAATTATTTGTCCAAGATCACATAGCATTTCTGGGATTGGAACTTGGAACCTTTGACTTTCTCCAGTCTTCTAGTATGGTTATGACATGCAGCCACATGCAACCCAAGAGGACTTACTGAGGCTGGAGGGCCAGGACAGCCACCTTTCACCATGCGCTTTGTGGAATTGGGGTCAACTTGGAACTTTCTGGGTCTCTTTCTCTCTCCTTCTCTTTCTGTTTCTTCTCCAGCTGCCTTGTCCCGATTCTGCTCCTGGCTTATGATACTTTATTTTTCCGTCCACAGCAAAACAATTCACATCAAGGTAATTGATGATGAGGCGTATGAGAAAAACAAGAATTACTTCATTGAGATGCTGGGCCCCCGCATGGTGGATATAAGTGTTCAGAAAGGTGTAGTACCCTGTCCTCCACACTAACAGTAACAGTCTTTTCTCCTTCCTTTCTTCCTCTCTCCAATCCTTTTCCTTCTCTTCCTCTTGCCTTCTACCTTCCTCTTTCCTTCCTCTCTTGCTCTGTTCACTTCTCCTTTCTCTGTCCTAACACCTGCCAACATGTCACATGGTATCCATAGAGAAGTCTTCAAGAAATGATGGCAGTTTGTCTGGGGTGGCAAAATGAATATGGGTGAGTAGAGGAGAGAGAGAGAGAGAGAGAGAGAGAGAGAGAGAGAGAGAGAGAGACCCACGCTCTAAGAATATGGCAAGTGACGCTTTCTGTGATGTAGTGTGGAGGCAAGAAAGACAGGTAGGTTTACAGACAGGAGGAATCATGAGAAACAGACTCTCAGTACAAATTTCCACAAGTAACATTATTCTCAAAGCTGAGTTTATATCCTAGGAAGTTGAGAACTAATATATTTGGACCATACTTTGTCCCACTCCCCCAAGGAGCCCTTCAGAGCCATCGTATCTGCTATGTCTCTGCTATCAAAGCTTGTTTCTCTCCCTGACCTTGACTGAGCTTAAAGTAGAGATCTCCATCAAAGGCCTTCTTGCTGTATTCTACTCTCCCTATTAAGGGGAGCTAGAGGGAATAGCAAAGAGAAAATTCTGACCTAAGGGGAAGCTTTCCCTGCAAGCCCATGAGACTTTTCAGAATGGACAGAGCTGTGCTTGTCCTTGTGTAGCTGAATGACTTTGTATAGCTCCAGCCTCCAAGAGGAAGTCAGACGATCCCTCCTAGGATAAGTTGTGCTCTAGAGTTGATGGATGAGGGGTCAGTATTCCTTGACCAAACCATCATCATGACTCTCTAAGTCAGGCTTACTTCAACCTGGTACAAGGCCTTGTGGTAACAAAACAGGCTCACATCTTACAGGCAGAGAAGTCTCTGACCTCCAAATGCTCAATGATTTTGTTTACCCAACAAGGTATGTAAAGAATCCTAAGTAAAACACACACACACACACACACACACACACACACACACACACACACACACACACACACAAGCTCAGTACTGCTTGTGCTTTATTGGTAGCAAAGGGAAGCATGTCTTCAGAATGTCAAAGGAACATCAGAGGATCCAAGAACATTTAAGTTGTCACTTATTCTCTTTTCCCTTTGAGGGAATTGGGTCCCAGTGTCCTCCCTGTCACAAATAACCCACGGAGAAAAACAATTCCAGCTAGATCCCTAACTGGACCTGCTAACCACCACTGTGGTTCTATGACATTCCTAGAGAAGACAAACATGAAAATCCAGGTCCCCACTGGAACCTCTCCACATGATCATGTGACTGGATGAGGTTCGAGTGGAGTATTTTTCAAAAAAAAACAAAACTAGCTTTTATTTCTAAATGACACTCCACTGTGTTGATACCCAGAAATAGACAGCTATCTCCACAACCTTGTGTTGTGAACCTAGGTTAATCAGCATTTAGGTCAGCCTTAGGGCACACCATCCCTCTACAACAGGATGTCAATAATGTAATATTCGTGTATCATATTGAAGGTAACACTTATTTTGACCCCCACTCCTGAACCTCCCTAAAGGATAAAGAATGAGAAAATTAATAAAACCTTTCCTCCCTTTCTCCATACCCCTTTCTCTCCCCCTCTCTCTAGTCTCCCTCTTCATAAATACTTTTTAAATTTTTCCTTAATGAGGAAAAAGAAGGGACTGAAGCCCTAGGTTCTGCAGGTGCAGTCTTCATTGTAGAAGGGTTATGGGTTATTCCCAGTAGGCAGGTCATTTACTTGACACCTAAAGAAATGCTCCTGTTACCATGTGACACCAATGGAATGTGCTGCCCGACTTACTTCCTACTAACCATTAGCAGGATCTAAAATGACCCCTCCCCTCCATGATCTTTGCTCTCCCTTCCTTCTTCTTGGCTCCCTTTGCCCACTTGTCCTTGTCCTCCTGGTTCCTTTTCCCTCTCACCTATAAGAACGACTATGACCAAGGAGGCAAGAAAAGCTAAGAGCATTTTTTTTGTAAGACAGCACAATCCACCATAGTCCTGCCTAAGGCCACCATGGCAGGACGGGGCTGCATGTGCCAAGAGTGATGGGAATGGTTATTAAAGTCTGTGGTCCAGGTGAACAACAAACCTGCCCACCTAGTCGACACTCTCTCTTTTGTTGTCCCTACAGGAAAACCATAAGGGTTAAAATAGTAGATGAGGAGGAATACGAAAGGCAAGAGAATTTCTTCATTGCCCTTGGTGAACCGAAATGGATGGAACGTGGAATATCAGGTGTGAGATTCTTTAAAATCAAAGCAACAACCAAGAAAAAGCAAAGAAAAGAAAAAAATGAAATTTGAACTAACAAGGAAACAATAAAAAAGAGAAAGTGACCCTATTTTTGCCCCACCTTTTGTTCCCTTCTCCTCCTTCTCCTATTGACAGAAATTGTATTCTTTTCCCTCCTGAATTCTCGCTCCCACCCTGTTTCGGTGTCATCTCTGCCTTCTTAGCTGTAGTTTATTTCCATATTCCTCCTTTCCCACCTTCTGGGCAGTACTGCAGCCTCAACTCCTCATTGCCCTAATGAATTATTCTGTGTTGTGCTATCCAGTTGTTACTGTTCCCTGCACTTTCCCCTATTCTCTGCCCCATACTTATCAACGTGAAAACTCCTTGGTGGGTGGGGAGGAGAAGAAAAAGAAAGGAATGTGATGTTTTGCATGCTTGTGCCCCTTCCTTGCCACCTTTCTATCTAGCTGGGTTTGACAATAGTTGGTGGTTCTTGGAGGAAGGGTGGGGCCCATGTTGCTATAATGCTTTGACCGTTTTCTGCTGCATTCCTCAACCTCTATTGAATGCTTGGCAGGCTGTTCACTTGCAGAGTGGCCCACAGGCCTCTCTGCTCTTCCTAGAGGTAAGTGCATTATCTGGCTATTCCCAGTTGGGTAGACCATGGCATGGGGAGGTATACCAGTTGGCCATGGTCTCAGAGCTCTCTGGGAGATAGCTGGCTTTCTGAAGTGGCCCTGCAACATGGAATCCCAAGCTCTCCTTTCTCCATTTGACATCCCATCCACTCCATCCTACTTTCTTCATAAACTAAAGTGAGGTACCTTATGTGGGATACTTTGGGATAATGAAAACAGAAAATTGAAAAATCTGTAAGAGAAAGTAAGTTGTTTTAGGTTCAGATGTTCCCTGAACCCATGGGTCCTGGTAAAGAACAGACTTTGGGAAAGCCCAGAATATTTATTTATGATTATCAGAGAAAGGAACTCTCAACGGAGTAGTGGTTTCAATCACCGAGATACTAAAGACAGCCAGTGGACAACCAGCTGATGGATACCTGCCTTTGCTTAGTATCTGCAAGTGAAGATAATGCTCAGATGCCAAGGCACTTCTCTCCTCCAACTAGAGAAGTAGACTCTCTCCTTGTTTTCTTGGGACATAGTCTCAACATCTCAGACAAAGGCTCATCCTTAAGAGAATGACACTGGCATTGTTGCAACCAGGGAAAATAGAAGAGATGCTTTCTTCACTTAATGAAAATGATCAGAAGCTACCACTTTGGAAATGTTGGAGGAACAGGTATGGGAATACAAAAACATCTGTTTATCTAGGAGGGGCGACTACTCTTCAGTGGTTTCACATTCATCAACAGGAAGCTACACGGACAGATCTAAGAGCATGAGATCAATAGTAACACTTTCAAAGAGCTCCTATAGGTCTTCTCCTCAAACTTGATGGTCAGTTATTTTCATTCTCTGGAACCATCTGCAGAACTCGCTGGTTCTGTACCAGCACTGGTTTGGACACATCTAGCATCTGTGGAGCAAAGCAAGCTCAATCTTCTATTGCCCGCTAAGTAAGGTGTTCCCACCAGCCTGACCACCAGAGTGCCAGAAGAAAAAGAATCTCATTCTGTTGCCTCTTACACTACTACAGCCTATCTTCCAGCTCCCACTCTTTCCAGAATTTTCACAGAAATTGTCTCAGTGCCTGCCCTATCTCATTTCCATCACATCCCCTTTGCACACTGACTACACATCTTTATGACTGACTGGAAACAAAAGATACCCAAGGCCCAGGTAAAACAATTTCACTGAGGTGAAGATTAAAGCAGCTCCCTGGGTGGAACAGGGCATCTGAAAGGATGGCAGAGGCAGGAGGAAGAGATTAGAAGCCCACCCATAACTTTATTTTATCATTATAAACAGCTATTTCCTGCCTCCTCTTGAGTCCCCTACCAAACAGTAGGCCAGAAAGTGTCCTAAGATAAGCCTTGTGCTCTTTGGGAGACCCATCTGAATGCAAACATCTGTGGCTGCTCCCCATCTGAGGTTGTCTTTGGCACTGAATTACTTAACCAAGAAGAATCCAGAAAAATCCTTGTGAAGCCTGGCCCTGGGGAAGGTGGAAGGAGACAAGAATTTCAGAAAACTATTTGTATGGTATACCCCCAGATTTTCCCAAAAACCAAAGTGCTAAGATGGAAGTTGTCAGTACGAAATGTATGGGTTCCCCAGCCTCCTGCCCTATGGTCTAGGCCCTAGACTCTGGGGTATTAATTTTCAGTTTCTTTAGTTCTTCCCAATATTGGCATCAGACCATGAGGTGAAAGGTTATAAAACCCAATTGTCTAGATCCAGAGTCAAATGAAAATCCATTCTGATTTGCAGGATGCCCTACTGTTTTCAGAGTGAGAGGCAGTACAGAGAAAATTGCTTTTCATTATCACCACTATCTAGGAGAGACTTAGGCATTCAGGAGGCTGGCATCGTCTCTGCATGGTCAAAATGACAATAGGTTTTTTTTTTTTAAATGACTGGACTTGAAATAGGAGATTCTATTCTGAGCAAACACAACAGCCTTCGGAGGTGATATTAAAAGTTCTGCATGATCTGTGGCAGAGGAAGAGAGGAAACATAATTGCTCTGATGTGGAGTGAGCCCCAGAGTGTGAAAGTGGACTAGTGTGAGCAAAGACGAGCTGCTGCATTGTCTGGGCTACCGGGTCAGAGCCTGGCCAGAGGAAGTCTCCAGTGGGAGAGAGAAGCTCTATCCAATAGTAGGGCCCGTTTCTTTCTCTTCTTTCCACATCCAGGGACACACCTTGTCCAGTGCCCCACCCCCCACATGTTTCCTGAGCTATCTTCTTTCCTAATTGTCTCTGTGGGACCTGAGCAGGGATGAATAACTCTCACCTGAGCTTGAAGATCCATACATGGGAAAGCAAGGAAAACACCTTGGTGGTCGTCAGTCACTCACTGTTGACCTCCACGGATCTCACAGATGCTTCCGTTACTTCTTAATTAGAGACCTCAGATTCACGAAGACAAGAAGCAGAGAGTGTCTGTCTTGCCTGGGTCACTGATGCTTTGGGATCTTCAGCCTCTGCCTGAACTTTAGGACCTGAAGGGTTCTTCCTGCAGACCCAGAGAAGGAGCAAAATAAACTACCTACCTGGCTGTCTATGTCAATGTAATGAGAATATCCACTGACCAACTAATTGCCTTCATGGTGTAGATGGAAACAGCTAGGAAAATCAACTGTTGCTCAGCTGCTAAAACACCATGTAGATTCTGAATCCACACATATCTTCAGTGGTTGTGAATGTGGAGTTATGGGTCTCAGGCAAAAGCTGAATTCCTTGGGGTTACTAGAAGAATGGATACACAGATACCCCCACATATACTCTCTCCTTCCTTGTCAGTCTCTGCCAGGAGTCTGTAGCAAGATGTTTCCAGATCTGGACAAGAGCCGAGGGGCGAGAGGTATACAATTACACATGCAATCAGGATGAAAATGTGTATGAAATTGACAAGAATTTCCTTTTAAGTTGTGCATTTTGAAGTCCAAGAGAGTCTAGCATAAACTAAGCTCTTATTCCATGTGATGGGTCTCTCATTCATTGGGAGAATCTGTCAGGTTACCTTAGAGACAAAGAGAGTTTAGCACAAGAAAAAATAAGCTAGAGACATCCCGTGTTGCCTGTGCTATTACTTTCTTCCACAGTCCATGTAGGGACCTCGTTTTTATCATCCCCCATCCTTATACAAGGTTTGGTCTGACAGTTGTAGAATACCTGAAATGAGGACCTCATTAACCCTTTCCAAACAAAAAGACCATCAGTTGCCAAAATAGCAAACAACAAGCCTTTACTGAACATAACTAAGTGCAGGGGCTAGACAGGAGATACAAAGCAGGAGTCCATGGCTCTGACCTCCGAGATATTGCTATAACTCATTCAGTGACCACAGTCTAGAGTATACATCTTTTCCTTATATTACTCTTTTAGGGACGATCAAAGCCTCTGGCCATAACAGTAGCTAAGATACCATTTGTGACTATGAAAACCTTATAGGCACTGGGAGGCAGAACATGGTCCTATTTCTAGGCTAGGGCTGGGAATCATAGAAGGGAGCACCATCCTACTCATGGATACTACTCTCTAGAGTTCAGCTTCAAGCCCTGTGTTCTATTTGCCATCAGTGGGCCAGCTACACTGTGTTCATGATAGCTAGACTGAATCACAGTGATCACCTAAGCGTCTTTTTCACCCACTTGGTCCTCTCATCCTCACACCTCTATCCTTTTTCAGGGAAGGTGTGGGGGTAACTTCCTTGTAGCTGCTCAGCAATCATTCCAGCTTCTCACACCTCTTGCTGCTGCTCTTGCTGCTCATGCTCAAATGCTGCTGTCTGCATGTGTTCTTGAGCTCTCCCTCACTAAGCCCATTGCCTTCCTTATGCTGCCAGGAACCACAAAGCCTGGGGACACTTTCGAGATGGGACCTTAATGTTCTTTCCTTTTCTTTCTCCCTCTTCCCTGATATCCATTTGCAAACAGCGCTCCTGTTATCTCCAGGTAAGAGGTGTCTGCCTTTCCCTCTTTTCTATTCCTGCCAGTGTCATTACTTGATTTAAGACCAATGTCCACTACATTACTTAGCAAGAACTACAGGGTCAAGATAACCTGACAGGTTCTCCCAATGACTGAGAGACTCCTCACATAAAGTAATTGTGGGAAAGTAGATAATTCCTTAAGCATCATTTTCATCAGCAAATATGGCAGAATGCACAGTTCATCGTTAAAATAAAACTTACCGGGAAGACGTTATGTCATAGATTTCCCTGCATTTCAGTCCATCGACCTCTTATGTTGTTGGAGAGGAGACAGTAAGAGTTAGGACCAGAGTCTCCCAATAGGATTGACATAGAACTCAAATGGAAAGACTGACCCCAGGGACCCAGGCAGAAACAACCAAAAGCTGCTGAGAACAGGAGAGGCAGTTTATTTCAAAACTGCTAGATCTGGACTAATTTCTCATTTATCCTTAAAGTTGCATATGCTCCAAACAGTAAAAACTATGTGTGGGAACAGGGCTCTGGATAAAAAAAGACATCTATAAATTTTTGGCAAGATTCTCATTCAGAATTTAGATCCTGGTAGGACGTGGACCTACTTTGAAAGTAAGCTGGCATGAGTGGAAGCCCATCACAAACAGCATGCACCCTCAGGACCAGAGAGGAAAACCGCCCTCCATGTCTGGCAGTACTCTACTTGATGCAGATGGAGTGGGCGCCACACGGCAGTTTCAGTATGTTTTAAAAGGGCATCTTACATTTCATCTGTTATTTGAACACACACACACACACACACACACACACACACACACACACACACACACACACACACACACACACACACACACACACACACACACACACAGAGGCTATTTAAGAGGCAAAAGATCTTACAGAGTACACTGGTGTTCCAAGTCACCTACAGGCCACGCCTGGGGCCTCTGCAATAGGTATATATAGTAATATCATTTACCTCCTTGGAGCCTAAATCAAAAAGTATACATAGTTAATATGTTTTCCTTTTGGGAAAATATTGCTACAGGCTCTTCATCTTCTTGCTTATTTCTATGCCAACAGGATAAGGGCTAGCTCTGGCTCTATGCTCTGTATTCTCCTCTCCTTTCTCTTCCCCTCTGCTCATACTACCCCACATGAATATGTTCAGGATTCTTCATTCCAGTTCTTGCCTTCACTACCTAACACACACATTTGTATTTGGTTTAAGTTTCGTTATACTTTCAAAAAGATTTCAAACACCAGTAGAAATATAAAGTGCAGAGGGATGTCCTATAGCTATCGGCAACCCTCTGATTCAGGAGTGCTTGATTAGAATATAGATCCACCAGAAATCTCAAGTTTTTATTTTGATCTTGCCGACAGGACAGGTGAACATGATTCACAGTGCCTGGTGGTGAAAGAGAGGAAATGTGTTCATCCTGGGCTAGACCACCAAGTTCAAGTGCCTTGGAGAGCCATGGCCACACCACTGCTTCTTTGTGGGGATACTGACAGAGCATTCACAGTCTATCCTTGTCTAGCCTGGAAAGCTTTTTGTTCTTCCAATATTTGTCCAATCTTCCATCTTATTTATATTCTATTTCCTTCCCCACCTCCCTCCCTTTCTATTCCTAGAAATGAGAGTTTGTTTAGTCAGCCTGCGTATCAAGATCACCTCTCCTTTATTTTTTTTTTTTGAATCAGAATCATTATCATTCATCTTTTAAGTTTGGGACTTGAAGAAATTAACATAACTTGAACTTAAACTTATGACCATCACATAAAAATTAGAAAAGGGGGAGGATTTCTGCCAAGACGCTAAGTTGAGGTTTATAAGAAGGTGTGTGAGTCAATTAACAGAAACGTACAGAGTGCCTCTGTGGGACTGTGGGGGACTTGATGATAGAGGATTGGTTATTTGTCAAAGGGATTTTTGCAGAAGGCTAGATAGAAAAAGTGACTGTCACCACAGGGGTAGACAGGTCAGCAGGTGGATCAATAATATGCCAGATGGCTATAGTGCTAGATTGATGGCTAGACAAGGGGTTAGACAGGTACATTTATGTGTCACTGGAGAGCTCATTATATCAGTATAAAGTTCCTGTGGCACATGTAAAGTATGGCATGAGGGAGCTGGGAAGGGAGGAACAGATTAACATTGTCACTGCTGAGACGAGCAGTAATTAATATATGATGCTGAAGCCAGAAGGAAGAGAAAAGGCTACTTGCTCTTTAAGGAGCCTGTGTTCTCTAAAGCCCCCACCCCAGCCCCATCGTAGGGCTATTGTCCTTATAAATAGCCCAGCACATTCAGACTCTCTGATTTGCCTTCAGAATGAACTCATCAGAGATCCATATTAAATTAAGTAAGTGGGGTGAGGCTGCTCTAAGGCTCAGAGAATATTGTGGAAGAGGAGCAGGAAGAATGCAAGAACCAAAGGATAGGAAGAATATCATCTCTTAGACACAGTACAGCCATCCTCATCATGAACTCAATGCAACTGCTCTAACCTACACTGACCCTGCACAAGAATGGACCTGTCAACAGCCAAACACAGAAGGGAAGGGCACTCAAGAAGGCCCTCCCAACCTGCAAACCTGAGACCACGATAGATTCTTGGAACTAGAGAGTCACTGACATCAGTCAAGTAACCACTGGTGAGCCCACAAGTGTCTAGAAGAGAATTCCAAACCTGCCATTAATGCAGATGACCCAGGTTAAACTCACTGGGTCTGAAAACCCAAACTCAAATGTATGAATATGGGAAGGGGTCTTGTAAGATTGAGAGAGGCTTGATGGGGTGATAGAGAATGAGAGAAGGTGTCTAGAGCAATTAGAATGCATTACATGTGTGAGAAAATGACAAAGCACAAATGTAACGGGGGGGGGGAGATCTAGGTCTTCAAAAAACCACCGGAGCCACGATAGTGCAGCACCATGGACAGCTCCCAGCCATTGTCGGGATTACCTTCTCATGCATTGGTTGTAGAAACACTGACTCCAGCAGCAAGCTCAGACACTGGAGCCTGCACACAATCAACTATCCTCATTCGGGTTAACTAAGGGAATCTTCATATAAATAAGTCTCTCTACTTAGCAAAACCCATTCTTACTTTATAGTCTTCTGTGAGTTGCTTTCACTGCAACCTCAAGAACCCAAGTTTCTCTGCCTCTCGCTTCACTGATTCTTCCACTACAGAATTTAAAAAAAAAAAAAACAACTTCCTTGGCCTCTGACCCATTTCGTCCTTGGGATTATGCAAGGACTAGAGGATTCCCATGGGAGGTTTACTGTGTGGAATGAAAGCAATTAAGGAGCTGAATAAAAGAACTAATTGCATGTGAGAATGCAGACTTGGATGGGGAGATGTTTAAATGGGCTCTGAAAGAAACAGGCTGCCAAGAGCGATTTTCTAATCAAAGGGGAATAAAAAGATTCAATCTCTATTTCGCTCTAATCCAGAAAACATGTCTTCATGGTGAAGTGGCTGGAAGATGGACTCACCAGCTGAAGTAGAAAAACTGTTTAACTGTTCAGCATGAGAAGAGACCATTGGTAAATGATGCAAGAAGCTGACGGACTCAGAGAATGCTTATAAAAAACAAAGCAAAGGGAGAACTTTGTTTTGTTTTTGCTTTGAATGTTTTCTTTTTAATTCCAGAAGAAACGACCCTGCCTTGTATAGAAATCCTGAGGGATCTGTCATTGAACACGATGAAGTTTCTTGGGAATTGTCCAAGATGCCAATTGACCTGTATGAAATGGAGATACCTCCGAAAACATTACCTGGCACTAGCAATGTGGAAAACAGATGCAAATGGGATCCAGTAGGCAGTGCATTTGGACTCATATATCTCCCAGAACTCTTATATAAAGTAGTGGACAACCAGATCCAGCAGCTCAAAATAGTTAAGGATCATGAGATTTGGCTTTTCTTCCAAGCTCTGCAGCTACTCTCCAAAGTGTTTGGGAGCTTCATTTGGTACCATTCACTGGGAATTCTTTGAGTCAGATTCCCTACCCAGGAATAAAACAAAAAGAGATACACTCATCTCAGGCCTACCAGGTCTGTTCAAGGTCTGATCACAGAGTGTCCAGCCCTTGGTAGGAAGAGAAACTAGAAATACCTAATCCCTGTTCTTGAGAGCTACTTGCTTTGCACCCACTGCCCATGTCCCTCAGCTATAAAGTCCTGGGAGATGGGAAAGGTGCTAAGGGTAGTCTGATTTTTCTTTTGTTGCAGAGGTGACAGACAGGAAGCTGACTGTGGAGGAAGAGGAGGCCAAGAGAATAGCAGAGATGGGAAAGCCAGTATTGGGTGAACACCCCAAACTAGAGGTCATCATTGAAGAGTCCTATGAGTTCAAGGTCAGACCATCACTGAGGGAACAGAAGATATGAGGCTTTTTCTAATTTCACCACTGAGAATGTGAAATAGAAACTGAACAAATCATTCATCCACCCCAGGTCTAAGTTTCCCCATTTATAACATGTAACAAGCAGTGCTAGTTGTCTGTATGCTATGAATACTACAGGAAACCATTATATAAAATATCATAATAAGTAGGGAAGAGAACCCTTGGGTGTGTCACTACTGCTGGGCAAGGTCTATTGACATCTTATCCTATAGTTACATTTCAAGCCCAGCGTGGTGGGCCAAGTCTTTAATCCCAGGCACTTGTGAGGCTGAAGCAGGTATATCTCCGTGAGTTCAAGGCCAGCCTGGTCTGTATAGAGAATTCTGTGACAACCAGAACTGCATAGTAGAGAGACTCTGTCTCAAAAGACCACAAAAAAACCCTCTATGGTTACATTCCTCTAAACATCCAGTGTCAGAATTCGCAACCAAAGAAAAGGGAACTAGGGGGATTGCCCAAAAAGATATCATCCACGGGCACCTCACAAAAAAATTTTAGAACCTCTGCAATTCAGGGCAGCTTTCATTCCTTTGTAATATGAGAGGCCTCATTGGTTTTGAGAATTCTAATCTTATGATTCCAAGTTTTTCTCTCCATGACAGAGTACAGTGGATAAGCTGATCAAGAAGACAAACCTGGCATTGGTTGTGGGGACCCATTCCTGGAGGGACCAGTTCATGGAAGCCATCACTGTTAGTGCAGGTAAGAGGGTCCTCCAGGTAGCCTTGCTAGGTGTGCAGACAATCCCCAAGAAAGAAGCCCCCTTAGAGGCTGATCACTTTCAAGGAGAGCTCATCAGTGGGGTCTTCCCAGCTCCGGCTCAGAAGTTTACCTATTTTGTTGGGGCACTAAAAGGGAATAGTGACATCTGGCTTCAAATCCTGATTCTGCTGTGTGAACTGGTACAAGCATCCTCTCTGCTTTCAATGTTTTCGGCCCTGAAAAGAACTACTGTTGCCTTTCTCAGAAGTGCAAGTACAAAACACGTGCACAGAAAATTCAAGTTCCCATCATTCCTTACCATCTCACTAGTTTGCTTTTCCTTTTCTGTAAAATGGAAAATAACCCTGGTTTAGAGACTGGATGTTAAGAGTTAGCAAAATGCTCTGCATAGACCCTCCGATGAATCTCCACCCTGGATGATTTCTTGGACATTTATAGGATGGACCCCACCCTACTGTCCCAGCCTAGGCAGAAGTCCCAGATATTGGCAGACACTGGGAATGAGGATGGACAGGTTCTCCCAACCGCCCCTGTTTTGTCTCTCAGCAACACTATAGTCCCCTTGAACTGACAAGCACTACTGGCCTTGTCTTTTTCCATGAGGTTTTGTTGTCATAGCAACCCACAGGGTCACATCCCTAAGGTCCCAGAGCCAGAGCAAAAGCGCAGCCAGGAAGAGAGGCTTGCTTCTGCTGCCTCCTTGCCTTCACATCCATTCTACTGTGTCCCTTCTGATGACCTGACTGTGCCCCTCAAGAGACCACAAAGGGAATGTAGGCCACAGAGTCGACCTCCCTTCACAAAGGAGGGAACTGGAGTTAAAAAAAAAAACTATAGGTAAAATACCCCAGGCTAAGAGTTCTTTCATTTAAAAATGGAATTAGAGCCCAGATTCCTGACTTTTGTTCTTTGCAAACCTAAAGCATTTAAAATTACCCTTAAAGGGGCACAGGTACCTCAGCACATACTATCAGGGGCCACTGGAGGTGCACATGTACACATAGTTCCTAGCAAAGCCAGTCAGAGACCATCCTGCTCTGTTCAAGAGTACTACTGCCATGATCTAGAATGACAGCCATCCACCCGGGGGTGAAAAACGGCAGGGTTATGGTTGTCATTGCTGTAGACACGTTAGAAAACTTGAGAGGAACCCCTGGCACTCAGTGAGAAGTGACCAAGCACACAGCCAATTTTGTTGTCTTTGCCCAGAAAATCAAGCACATCCTGTCCCTGCCTCCTTTCTCCCGGCCCCCTTCTTGTCCTCCTGTTCTCGCACCCTGAATCTCACTCTCATCCTCTCCTTTTTCTTTAGTCCACAGCTTGCTCACTTTCTCCCATGTTCATTTAGCACCCTGCATCGGTACTGACCAGTGACCACATGACCGATTTGTTTCCCATTTCCCCACTGTTTAACCGGTACCCAACACCCTGTTCCTCACTTGCTGTCCAGAGAGAACTGAATCCCCATTCTGGCCCAGGATGCCTGTAATATGGACTGGACTGGACATTTTCGTGAATGATGTTCTGATCTCACTTCCTTGTCTCAAGCCTGTTTATCTTACCTCCAGCAGGGGATGAGGATGAAGATGAATCGGGAGAGGAGAGGCTGCCTTCCTGCTTTGACTATGTTATGCACTTCCTGACAGTCTTCTGGAAGGTGCTTTTTGCCTGCGTGCCCCCCACGGAGTACTGCCACGGTTGGGCCTGCTTTGTGGTCTCTATCCTCATTATTGGCATGCTCACCGCCATCATCGGGGACCTAGCCTCTCACTTCGGCTGCACAATTGGGCTCAAGGATTCTGTCACAGCTGTTGTTTTCGTGGCGTTCGGCACCTCCGTGCCAGGTGAGAGTGAGAGGTACTTTAGTTTGCAAAAAGGATCTCCCCTGGTTCAAATGACCCCCTACACTCTGCCTCATGTCAGATCTAAAGCAACAGGCACTGTGGGTGATAACCAGGTCACACATTCAATCCCTGCCTTTACTAGACAGGAAAACTGAGGTCTACCAAGGATATGGTACCTGACCAAGTAAGTGGCTCAATTTCTTAGCCTTTATATTGTATTAATAGGATACAAGCAATGCAATTAAATGCATATAATAATGTTCTTCCATTTACCTCTGGTAGCCTCTGAGAGATTAAATATTAGCCTGCTTATAAATGTCCCTATAGGAATGCCCACAATCCTTCTTGGCCTCCCCCTGCTCCTGTGGTCAGCTATGAGGGCAAAGTGTCTCCTATTAGAGCAGGCATAAGAACCTTAGCTGATATTTGTCCTTTCATGTGAGGAATTACATGCGTTTTATTTCCTTCTAAATACCCAAAGGCAAACATCAGTAAGCATCCATTAATTCCTTTAGTAGGCTAATATTTACTGTGCTCCCGGGATGCCTGATACAGGGCTGTGCTGGTTGCACATCTATTAGTTGAGTGGAGGCAAACATGTTTCCTTCTCAGTCCTCAGTTAAAAATCCAGCAAAGGAGACTAGACCCAAATGGTTTTTCTTAATCTTAATGATATCTAGGAAGTAAAGGTGTCAAGCAGGGGCCCTGAGGTTAAGCTGGGTCAGGGCAAGTCCTATGGAAACCAGGCCTGAATGACAAGCAGTAGGTAGGCAGTACAGTGTGACTATATTAAGCCAGCCTCTCCACTGAATTCAATCTGGGTCTCTATGGCATCCGAAATCTGACCTTTTGCTAGCTTCAAGTACTTGGGCTAAACCACACCAGGCAGGAGTCTGCAGGGAGAGCCAAGAACAACCTTCATTGTAGCAAAGAAACATCCTTTTGGAGATCAGTTTCACCTATTAGTTTCTTCAGTATACCTGTGACATGTGACAAAAGTCCCAAGAGAAAAACTTAAAGAAGAGAGGATTCATTTCACTCACAGCTTCAGGGATGTTAACACAGCATAGCAGGGAAGGTGGCATGATGAGAAAAAGCAATTCACATCATGGTTGACAAAGGACCAGAGAATGAGAATGTAGGAAAAGGCCCAAGACAAGCTATAAGCCCCAAGAAATGTACCTTAATGAGCTACTTCCCCCAACTAGGTCCCTCCTACCTTTCACTACCTCCTAATAACATCGTCATATTGTGACTTCATCAATGGATTTGTCCATTCATTGAGTCACAGCCCTTGGGATCTAATAGTCCCTGGAAACTCATCACAGATTAACACCCAAGGATGTGCTCTACCAAACCCCTGGGTGACTCTCCATTTAACCAAGTTGGTATTCAAAATGAATTGTCACACTATATCTACACCACAACCTCCAGGAACTCCTCCTTCTTAAAGCCCAGCACAGACCAGGGTGCAGGGGGTAGGGGTGGGGAATGTGTATTGGTGATGCCACAAGTCTGGCTACTATGGAAATGAATCTGTTGATAAGAAACCAGATGATGCCCTGTGCTCACTGTTCTCCAGGTTTGATGTACCTAAGCTGACAGAGGGAAAGGAGCAGATATGAGGGCAAAGACATGTGGGAAAAAATAAGAGAGGGTTAGAGCCAAACTGCAAGGTCATAGTCAAGTTGGGGTGAGAAGCTTTCTCTGGGAGAGCTAAGAAATTTGGTAACAGTGAGACAGCAGGATATACTGGGTGGGGAGATAGTTTGGGGCCTGGAAATTGGTCCAGAAACACCTGGCAATACTGAAGCTTTCAGAAGAATATGCTATGGTCCATGCCTCTGGTATCGTGGCTTTTGTTAAAGCTCTTTGGAAATGAGAGGATGTTACGGGGCCGGCCCTCCCATGGGGATTCTAGAGTCAAGTCTCTAGCTAACTTGAGTGACCTTGTGTAGATGCCTTGATCCCAATTCTCCTGAGTGCAAGGGTATTGCACAGTCAGGGTTAAGTGAGTACATGCCCCATATGACAGTTCCAACCAATCATCTACTCCAACTGCTTCCCAGGATGTGAAAGTTCCCTGGGCAGGTGTTATGAAATGACTGAGTCTTATTTGCTAAAACCATTGTCAATAGGGAATACTATGCCCACTTTGTAAATATTGGGACAGGAATAGCTCTTAGGATGCTTCGGAATCATACAGATGAGGAACGGAAACCCAGATCCATCATTGGACATATCCAGGGCTGTATAGCTCCTAAGTGACAGGGCTAGAAGTGGTCCCTTCGCCCATGCTGCCAAGCTGCCTATGAGGGATACTCAAAGTCAAGCCCTACGGATCCCAGCCTCCCACAACTCCCATTTGTCTCTGTCCTTTTCCAGATACATTTGCCAGCAAAGCTGCTGCCCTGCAGGATGTGTATGCAGATGCTTCCATTGGCAACGTCACTGGCAGTAATGCTGTCAACGTCTTCTTGGGTATTGGTTTGGCCTGGTCCGTGGCCGCCATCTACTGGGCCATGCAGGGACAGGAGTTCCATGTGTCTGCTGGCACTCTAGCCTTCTCTGTCACTCTTTTCACCATCTTTGCATTTGTCTGCCTCAGTGTGCTCTTGTACCGTCGGCGGCCCCACCTGGGCGGGGAGCTCGGAGGTCCCCGTGGCTGCAAGCTTGCCACAACATGGCTCTTTGTGAGCCTGTGGCTCCTCTACATACTTTTTGCCACACTGGAAGCCTACTGCTACATCAAGGGGTTCTGAACCAATAGAGCAAGACTTCCACAGGGCAGAATTAGGACTTCTCCTAAGAGAAGGGCGCTTCCTCACCAACCTTCCCAGGTTGAGCAGCCCTGGAGAAGCAGCATCAGGACCAGAGCCCCAGGAACATCACCTGACCTAGGCCCTGGCGTTGCACAGAAAGGCCAAAATCTAACCAATCCAGTGGAATGGAGGAGACACCCACTGTCCAAAGTATTTAATTAAAAACAAACCAACAACAGCAACAAATCCACCTCTGCCCATCCTCCATCCATGTCCCTGAGCCCTCTCTTGTGTATTCCGTCACCTGACTATTCCTTTGACTCTAATTCCCTGAGGGGCAGGGTTTCCCCTGTCTCCAGTGACATGCATCAAGGCTCCCTCATTCAGCTGTCGGGGTGTGAGAATGAGCCATCTCCACGTGGCTGGTTTGGGGTGCTCTTTTTCATCAAATTGTTATTGTGATTGCTTTCATCTTCCTACCAGGTTCCACTTATTGTCTTGTCTTTTCTTTCTGAAGTTAGTGACAAAGGGCCCTGAAGGAACTCCAAGTCTGAGCGACAGACAGAGGCATGGACTTGCTGACACACACCCTCCTGCTCTCACAAGGCCACAGCTGTCCCTTGGCTCCAACTCAGGGTGCAGGAGGAGTTTCGTCTGCTTGCATTGACATCACACCCAAACCACAGAGCAATCACAGGCTTCTTTGTGGAGGTCATTGTACTTCTCTATGTTGTGTGTCAGCGCCTGTATGTGTGCCCTCCCACAAGAAACTTGCCAAGTTGATGGTTGGGAACAGAAAGAAGAGTGCTCCCTGCTGAGCAAGGGCAGCTGGAGACACAAAGGGGAAACACCTCTCCAGTGTTTGGGGTTTCTTCTCTCTGAGGTGGGAGAGAAGAGGGTATCTGTTTGGGGGCTCTCTAAGGGAGTGGATCACATATAGAGTTTCTGGGGTGCACCCCTCTCGCTAATACACCATACCCAGAAAGCGAAGGAGATTGCTTGAAGTGGTGTGAGAATTTAGAGGCTTGTAAGAGAACAGGGGCCTCCTTCCTCCTCTCCTGACCTTCAGGCCACTTTTGAAAGCATGTTCACAAGATAGGAACTGGAATCTCTCATTTCCCCATGTTCCTGCTTGTTTTTAAACCTCAGAAAGTTCTCTTCCCAGCCTGTGCGGTATTTCTTATACCCCCTCCCTCCCCAAGAACCCAAGTCATCACATTCCCAAGGAGCCCAGGCTCATAGAAAATGAGTTCTGACACACTGACACCCTCGCCTCCTGGACTTTTTTCTGATGTATATGAAAAGTCCCGGCTTTAACACACACACACACACACACACACACACACACACACACACACACACTCCAAAACTGCCCACGGGTCTTGAGGCTTTCTGCATTGACATAAATACATTTTCTAAGAGAGAAATAATGAAATTAAAACAACACCTGTTTAATTTTCAACACATTTTTTAAGAAAAAAATAAAAAAGAGAACAATGTTTGTGTCCTAAACTATGTTGACAGTTGCCGGTGGAAATGTTGGGTTGGTTCAAAAAAATAAATAAATAAAAGTAAAAGGTCTACTTATATGTTTCTACACACAACCCATGTTTCTTCAATGAGCAGTCCAAGGACCAGCCGTCTTGGGAATCTGCTGAAGCAGATGCAATTGATTCAAAGGTGTCATCTCCCATCATATTCAAGTGTCAATGTGCTAGACATAGTATTTTTTTTAAGCAAAAAATGTTCAGGGAAATGCTGCCTGTCACAACCCAGACTTAAAGAAGCTGGAAGACACAGATAATAAGAATTGTGCTGATGAAGGCCAGGGGGCATTTTGTACCAGAAGAGCACAGCAGGGCAGGACTTGGCTAGGAAACCATATTTAGCCAGTGCTCCCCACATAGACTCAGCATCAGCATCCATGTGCTCATCACTCATTCAAAAATCAATCCTGCAGTGAACACCCTCTACATCCTCAGTTACATTCTGGTGACACAACGAAGATTTAGTTCTTCACCACAAGAAAGTCACGATCCAGGAAGTGAAATAAAATTCCTTTTAATACAGTGTTTTGGAGTTCTGAAAGACAGAAACCAATGAAACGGTTTGAGAAACAGTGTGGGCAGTACTGGGATGCCCAGTGGGGGAGGGTTTCTGTGAAACTCAGATCAGGAAGCCCTGAAAAACCAATACTGCCTTCCCTGCCTCCCATCCACATGCCCCCTCCAGTCCTTGCTTCCCTCCCCCACACACCCTGTCTCCCTGGGGGGTCCCCTTGGTTTGGCTTGCCCTACAGTCCAGCTCAGTTGACAGCCCTGATGTGATTTCATGGCCTCACAACTCCACTCCACAGAACTAACAGAAGCTCTCTTTGGGGATCTGAGAACAAATTCTCAATCAAGAAAATACAATTAATTCCCCATACCCAGAAGGGCATTTCCAGAAGACAGAAACCTTTGCAGAGGATATCTTGGTGTGTGTGTGAGAGAGAGGGGGGGAGAGGGAAAGAGAGAGAGGGAGGGAGACAGACAGAGACAGAGACAGAGACAGAGACAGAGACAGAGACAGAGACAGAGAGAGCATGCAAAACGGTAAGTGAGGAGTGTGTGGATGGGTACTTATGCACTAAGCCCATTCCAGTCCCAAACAAGCCAGAGCAAGTGAGGAAGTAGGAATTACATGTGTGTGTGTTAGTGCCCCTTCCGAAAGCTAAGTAGTAGAAGGAGCCTATGGTTTGTGAACAATTGGGTGCAAAAAAAGAAAGAAAAAAAAGGCCCTGTACCACACACAAGTGCTCTCAGTATGGTATGAATAGAGGGCCATGGAACACAGTGGTAACAACATGGACTTGGTCTTGAAGAATTGAGAAGAACCTCACTGAGAAAGGGACCTTAAAGCAAAATATATAATCATTTACTTTGGTAAAAGGACTCAGCATTGGAAGACAGACAAAAGGAACCAGATGGGACCATGCTGTGGAGCTCTAGAAGGAGAAATGCAGGTGGATGCTAGCTGTGGCCTGCTTCTGTAATTGAGAAAGGTTAAGGCCAAGGAATGGTCTTGTGTTAAAGGCAAAAGGAAAGAAAAGGGATGGAAAGAAAATTCCACCACCACCAAAATGAATAAATAAATACCACTTATCTTTTTGCATTATGGAGTTTAGTCTTTTTCTAGGCTTAAATTTCTGGCCAACTGGGGCTAAGAAAGCAGGTTTGAGAACATAAATCCTTCAAGGAAGTGATAACTAGAAAATGATAGGTAGATAGGTAGACGATAGGTAGGCAGATAGATAGATAGATAGATAGATAGATAGATAGATAGATAGATAGATAGATCTGGGCTAAAGACTATTCTATTTCATTGCTAGTTGAGAATGAAAAATAAATGTCTTCTAGCTGATTCCATGGGAAAGACAGGGCATAAACTCCATTTGCGCTCACTTGTAGATCACCCAGACATTGGACTTTGTAGAGAGAGGGTGAGGTTCATTTACTGATGAACCCTAGTAAATGTGAAGGAGGGTTGAGACTGGTGTCCACGGAGAGGAAGGACCTTAGTGTGAGTCTAGACACAACAACTAGCTCTCTGGATTGAGTGAACACCTCTCTTGGTTCACCTCAGCAGAAGGCTTCTGAAGCCTATTACTTCCAGCACTAAAGTTGAGACTCTAGAGCATGTGCATGGAGGGTGGGGTGTACAAGGTGATGTATAAAATTGTCTGACAGCCATAATCAGCACCACTGCAGGCATCCCTTCAGGGTGTCCTGGTCCCACAGACTGTACATCAGTCAGTATAAAGACGACATTGCCAGCCAGTGTGCACAAGTGGACACTCCCATCCCTTTATCTCACTTATTTTCAGGGAATAATTGCTATCATAATAAATCAACTCCAGCATTTCAGTGGCTTAAGAGAAAATGAAGTTCCTTCCCAATTCACACAATGATTTAAGAAAGACGTTCTTCGTCAGCAGGTAACACTCTTCCGCATGATGGTGAAGGCGCTTGGTTTCTTTTATTTCATTAAGTGCCAGTCTCTGCATGCCCTCTCCACTCATCTCAAATGGGAAGTAAATTGGAGGTGGTGTGCGCATATCTAACTGCCTTGGCTCCCAAGCAATGCCACATTTGCTCGCATCCAATTAGTGAAAGCTAGTCACTTTTACTCATTCAGATGCAAAGGAGACTGTGACATGTAGTCCTTAGCTGGGCAGTCACTCTCTTGTCACCTCTCTAAACTGCAAAAGGGTCTTTTGTAATAAATGATTGTCCTGCCACAATGCCTTTGCGATTAAGGACCGATATTTTAATATTAATGGCCAAGAGCAATGTGACCTATGTCTGTGCAGTTTTCAAACCCTTTAATATACATCATCTTTGTCTGATAAGAGCCACAAAAGACAGATATTATTCTTTTTTGTCAAGCAGGGTATGAGTGGTTATATGATTAGCCCGGAGAACACAGAGAGTACGGTTCAGGTAGAAACACAGGTCTGATTCCAAATTTTGCTCAGATTGCTTGTTCCAGAATATCATGACCTCTTGTAACAAACACCCGAACAAAGGATGGCAAGAGGCTACAATTACAGGAGGCTGAATGTAGCCAGTGAAAGAAGCCCACAGAGAGGCAGCCAGTTGGCAATTGAGAGCACAAGAGAAGCCAGCCAGCAATTAGTTCTCTGGTCCTTCCACAATGTCTTCTCACCTACCTCATCCTCATCCTTACTGAATGAGGCACTGGTTAGGGTAATGTACCTGCAAAGCACCGGGGCAGACAAGTGAAACTTCGCTTTGATAAAATCATTTGTATTGATCATTAAAGATGGAGAGTCTTCTGGCCCTGGGCAGAGGGGCGATGGTATTCAAAAGGATTCCCGGAAAATTACCTGGCAAGTATGTCACATGATGCTCAGAGGGGTGTGTCTTAGCCTGTTTTGTGTTGCTATAATAAAATTCCTGGGTCCTGAGTAGAAGTATCCAACTCACGTTTCTATTGTT